GGAATTAACTGTAAACATGAGGCAAAAAAACGACCAACTTTTCGGCGAAATGTTGAATCGTTTAAGAATGGGTATAGTAACAAGTCAAGACAGTTGCACTTTAATCGTATTGAAGCTCTGTAGCTCGTGGTAGTTAAAAACTCTCTTACAGGCTATAGCATCTTCCCCGTTTCAGTGACACATAGTTCTAATTTGACGGTATATTATAGCAAACGGTATAAAATTAATTAGAATAACATTAACGTTAAAAGAGAGGAATTGTAATTTAAAATATTGGTGCTGAAATATTTTGAAAAGATTACAACAATATTTTTTCTATATTGTAAAGATATTGCATGCCAATATAATGGCAGAATGTAAGGTCTCATTAAAAAATAAAATCATTGAAATATTATGTACTACATTCTGGCAATGAATAAATGAATTTGAAATGAATTTGAATTTGTGAATATCGTATAAGAATTATTTAGTGGAACCGATAAGATTCTCAGTTACGTCATAGTCAAAATTACTTAACTATTTTAATAAAATTGGCTTAATATTATGATTACTTAGATGCGAGGCTTTAAAAATTGTGTTTAATTTGTGGTACTGTAATGTAGCAGAGTAGTTAAAGTGTCTTCTATCGAAGTTGCTCTTGTAGGCAGGCAAGGGATAGGGGACCGTCCTTTTATCACTTATTTGTATTTCAGAAGCAGTACTTTTGTGATATTTACGAATGGACTAGAAAATGTATAACTTTCGTGTGGTATGTCCTCAGTCGGGTGTCTAAAAGGAAGGCCTTTAATGACTTTCAATAAAGCACGCCGTGCACGTTCGAGTTCAATGAGGTGAGTTTTAGCTACACCACAACCAACTAATGCAGTAAGTCATAACGCATCCTGCAAGAGCTTTATATACTTTCATTATAGCCTCGTTATCTAAAACATCTCTTAAGTTTTCAAACACATATATGACCTCCCCTCTTATCTGTTACTAACCGTAGTGAAATGTGCCAACCAATTTAACATGTCATCAATAATTACGCTCAAGTATTTTACATTGTCACTACGCAATAAGTGCGGACAGTTACATTCAGGTGTGGTGGTTTGAAACCTGTTGCAAGGAAATCTATGTATCAATAATTTTAAATTTACACTCGGCTTGCAAGCATTTGTAATGCTAAAGCTTAAAGACTTTATTTTAGAAGTATTTAGTGATAGTAGGTTATCTTCCAGTCATGCAACAATGGTTTTTTAACCTTCTTCAGGTAACTTGTATACTGAGTTCCAGGTACGTTCCCGAAATAGAAGTACAGTATCGACTGCAAACATCTGAATTGTTGGACTATTTACTACTATATTACACAGGTCATTAATGTAGATCAAGTACATTGTGGGGTCCAGTTTACTTCCCTGTAGAATACCATGTGTACAGGTGTGCCGTCACTTAGTAAGTTATGTAGTCGTACGTTTTGTTTTCTTTCACACAGATAGTCTTTAAGCCACATTAGCGGGGTACCTCCTATACCGAGGCCTTCCATACGTGCCAGTAGGACGGGAATGGACACTGTATCGAATGCTTTTTGAAGATCCAAAAATACGCCAAGGCACATGTCACCCGCATCCAGATGATTGACTACTTGTGATGTAAGATTTAGAACGGCGTCATGCGTAGATCATCCGCATCGAAATCCAAACTGGTTATTGGATACAAATTTATGCTGTTCCAGATATCTTAAGAGTCTTTTATCTACAATTTTTTCCATAACCTAAGATAAGGAAGTCAATAATGAAACAGGCCTATAGTTGGTTGGAAGTTTTTTGTCACCTGATTTATATATCGATGTAACTGGGTGCAATTATTGCTGTTTTGAAAATGTTAGGAAAGATACCAGTATTAAAGCTCAGGTTGCTCAATGATGCTGTGTTTCGTGTGGCGAGTGTAAATGACCGGAGGGAAACCGGAATAGGTGTAGCTGTATGGTCTATGGCCACAGCATACACTTACCAACAGGTGGACTATGTGCTCGCTTGTCACCCTTCTTACTCTATAAAAAAGTAACATGGTTTTTGGTGCAAATATGTATGAAGCTCGCATGTTGACAGTAAGATGAGTATGAGTCACTTGCAACAACTGTCCCGCCTAGATTTCAGTAATAGTCTGTGATTGTATAAAAATTTAAAATAAAATAAATATTTCTTCCAGCCGAAGTCCTACGAGCTCGGTTACTCGGTGAAGGACTCGCAACGAGAACGGAAAGGAGACGTCCGACGAACACGAGGTGCGCGGCGAGTACAGGGTGGACCTGCCGGATGGACTCACACAGATAGGTGCCGGATTTTGCTTAGATTTAGTTATGTTCTCCTAGTACTCTTCCAGAGCAGACCAGTTAAATAAGTGAGTCAGTAATGGATCCACGAATTTTAAAGCGACCTGGATGGCGCCGCTTGGAAATATGAAAAAGTCAGTTATTGGGTTTTTCAGTTAAGAAATTCTCAGTAGCAACCCGGAGTTAGAAAGTTGACGGCCTTTCGCCCCCCTTCCCCTCCCTTTGAAAGGACGTAAAGCCGTTGATCCTGCGCTTGGTCTCTCTCCGGTTCTGTCGCACAGGGCCGGCCCTACCATAAGACGAACGGAGCGGCCGCTCCAGGCGACAAGTCCCAGTAGGCGCCTCAGTCAAATTTTATTACACCATAGTTATCTATACTATATAATAGAAAAATACAATCTTTGAGTTTAGAGTTTACCCACCAGAGTCAACCCTACCAGCGGGGCTAGCATGGGCTGGAGACAAAAATTTTATCCCCCGATTATATCCACTGACAGAGATATAATTATCTTGTCCCTATGCAACCAACAACGTACCAGTATATATTAAAATAGGCTATTATATATATATATATATATATATAAGGCTAGGATAATTAAATAATCTATTATAACCACCTTGTGCAAAAACGTCGTTTATTTGCTATCAATACACGTGGCTAAGTTATCTTAAAATTTTGTTCTAGGTAGATGCTAGTTTTAGCTCTTGGCAGATGGTAGTTACCAGAGAGGTACAAGTCAAGACAATGGAACGGCTGTTGCTCAAACAACAAATAATCAGTAAATACTCGACCCAAGTTATTAGAGCTATCATTACAATGTGAGGGACAATATACTTTAGTTAGCCTCTTTCATTTTATTTTTGACTAATACCGAAATGAATATAACTTCCGGGCGTATAACAAGCAAGTCAAAATTTAGCTAGGTGATTGCTAGCAGAGCATAGTCTGCCAGACATTCTTGGGGCTATTGACTGCATCCATGTTGATATATTTCACCTACCAATCCCGACTGGGGTTTGGTACAAGAAAAGGGCGGTCTACAATAAATGTTCAACGGGTAATGACAAACAAGTTTAGAGTTTTTCAAAAACCTTCTAAAATCTAATAATCAAGTTTTTTTTTTTAAATAAAGAATAGTAGTATTATATTCATCTAATATTCCCCTTCCTCGCAGAAATAAGTATAATGCTTGTGCTAGAAATATGTGGCACAATAGTCTTAGAGGTAGTTCTGTGAGACTGTTGTAGTCCCAGTTAAAGATCCTACAACCTTTCAGATTATAGTCACCCTTAACCATTGAGCTATTGAGTCTCAATAGCTCGATGAAATGATCTAATTCGATCAATATCCAAGGCGAGTTAAGACCAGGTCATATTTAACATCTAAGTTAAATCAGAAATGAAATGTCTGTACGATAGTAGAACTGCTCTATAAGTACTATCTTTTTTGGTATAATGTTTTAAAATAGTTTTCTAACTTAGTAAAGTTACGATTCATAATTTTTAATTAAGAAATATGTTAATTCTTTAGCAAAAGCTTGTTGAATATTTTTGAAGTGAAAACTTCTTTAGCGGCGTTGTACACTTTTTTTTGTAATGGGTAAAAATGTTAAACTCGTCGAATCGAAAATTTTTAAGACGGATGGAGAGTAGGAGAGGAAGTATCCCCCTCTCTTTCTACGGCGCGGCGAAAATGTGTGCCTGCGCCTGCTGTTTCAAACCATTCCAAAATATCAAAAATGCACAACGTTAATATTCAAGTTTTCACTTCTGCCGGCACTCCCGGAGTGCAACCCGTCGTTTTTTTTTTAATATATATAATATTGTTGCGCGCCACTGTTGATGCCTGGTAGTGCCCCTAGCGCCATCTAGAGTCGGGGACAAGGAGCAGAGCGAGGAGAGCTTTCTAGAAAATTTCATGCTAGTACTTTCCACCAACAGCGCCATCTAGTATCTAATAGAAGAACTAGGCTTTCTAGAAAAGTCCACACTCGAATTTTCTACATCTAGTCGGTTGGGACCGGTATTTGCTAGAATAATCTAGATGTTTCAGTGGAAAAGGCCTATATAAAGCCGTTTAATGTCTATACGAGCGAAGCTTTCGGAGCGAAATAAAGTGAGCTAAAGTGTTAAGTGTGATTAATTATTAGTGTGATTTAAGTTTCATTTGCTGTTCGGTAATTAAAGTGTCAGTTTTGATAATTCAATCGGCAGTTTTTATTGTCATGAACCCTAAGCTCGTAACAATATTTATATATAATAGTAGGAATACAAATAACACAAGACTCATGATCATAAAATTGTTTATTCTTTATTTTGTTCATAATCATTATATTTTCATTCTTCAGGCTTCATCATGTTCAATTAAAATTTAAATCTGAAATGACAATAAGCAGGCATTAATTGTCATCTATATTATAATGTAGTATTAATAGAAACAAATATTTTACAGGGACTCGGATTTATCATCAGAGTCTTGGCTAACTCCACATTTGAGAGCTGCCAAAATAGTTCTGCAGAAACATATACCTACCAACTGGCATTACCAAGTGAGAAACTGTGGAAAGAACAAATGGGTACCTCAAAGGCACATTCCATTGACGTTGACATCCACTCCACTACAGTCCAGAAAAAGCTTCACAACTAATTTATATTCACACAGAAACACAAACTTATTAATATAACAAGGTTATCCATCTCCTTCTGCAAGATCTTTGGTGGCAGCTGCGAGTTTTGCCCTCGCTTGACTGTACTGTCTCAACACGGCTTCAGCTCCTTGGAGCAATGCTGATGCTGAGCTGCTGTCAGCTGGTGCAGGTAAATCCTGACCTCCTATTGTATGAGCTTGCTTTATGGTACTCCATCGGACGTCTATGTATCCAGTGCCTGTGTATGTGAAGTCTGCACTCTGTAGTTGTGGCTTCGACAGAACTTCTAAATCCTTTATCAAATGGCATCCGCCTACAAAGAAGCGCCTACTGTCAGCCTCCACTTTGTTCTTCTCCTCTGGCCTGATGCAGGATAACCTCTTAGTGTTATAGCCAGAGCTTAACAACAGAGGGAGATAGCAATATCCCTCGGTGCGGTGCCTCCCCCACCAATCTGTTGAAATAGCTTCGAAGAACATTTGAAGGGGCGGTGCATCTATGTCAATAGATATTTCCAACTCCAGTTCAATCGTATGTCCATAGTTCCAACGTGAGGAATCTTCAATATTTATACTCTTACTAACGTGAGTTCGGCCACGCAGTGAACTCTCGCATTTGACCTCTTCTGGAATCTTAATTTCGTACTCAATGTAAATGTTGTCCAAATCAAAATCGGTCGCCGATAAAAGGGGGATGCCCACTGTTCATAGACACTTCGGCCATGGGTGCCCACATATAAAAGCATATGGAAATGATAATATGCAATTAAAATAATGAAATGGTTAAGGAATTGGTTTAAAAAAAGTCGGGATTTTTATTATATAAAGCTTTTTATTTTCACAAATACAGCTTTTTAACGACTACTTTTACCAATTTTATTGCTTTTAATTTCTTTAACTTTTAATTCCCGACGCGTGATTTTTCTTTTTGGAGGCCTATGCCAAAAGGCACACCGAACAGAGACTTACTTTAACTAGTATTTACTTGTTTTTGTATTTATTATTGTTCTTGTATTTATTACTTTAACTAGTATTACAATAGGAACTCAAACACAAATATTATGTAACCCCAAAGTTCGGAAATAAATGGCTATATTATTATTATACTATTATTATTAATTCCTGACGTTTCAGGTGCTTTATAGCACCCATGGTCACGGGGTACTGAGGTGACTGCCATTCCAATATCAGTATTGGGACATGGAGTACCTTCAGCTTTTTATTATTATTTTTATAGTCCAATCTACGCAGATTGAACTTACTCTATCTTTAAGTCTTGCAGTGGTATGCTTGGGGTTTGTTTTAATTTTATTAATTACAGTGTCCCAAGCAGGTGGCAGTACCCAACCGCCTTCTCTACTGAAATTAGGATGTTTTTTAATTTCAGTAGCCTCACATATCATCCTTGGTAGGAATTAATGTTCTTTAACGAGGATTTGTGGTCTATCAAATCTGATGTATGTCTATCTGGTTGGGGTGACACCCTTGACATACGATAGTACAGCAGGCACACGCTCAACTGCGGTCGGCTTCACTCGGTCACTGTGACGAAGACGTGGGACCCGAAGCTTGATTTTGTGCAGAACCTGCTTGACGTGCTGAAGCTCCGCGGCCAGGTGCTTGTTCTCACAGATCCCATATGCTCTCTGTAACAAAGATTTGCTCATGGTAACTAACTGTGAAGGATTATGGTGAGATTCACCGCTTAAATATCAGTTTGTATGGGTCTTTTTTCTATACACAGTATGACCTATGGTGTTGTTAGGATTTTGGATAACAAAAACATCTAGGAAAGCTAAGAAATTATTTGCCTCAGATATAATATCATAATTACTGAATAGAATTTGGCACAGAGAGTGGTAACGATGGATAAAATTCATAGGAACAACATCCTGATTTAATATTTCTTGGGCCATATTCATGAGCCGCTCTAATTTGTTTCTTGGTACTTGCAATAATGCCTATATGCATTCATCACTATCTCCTGTTCTTACTTTTATCAAATATACAGCAAGTGCAAAGCATCCACTATGTTTACTTGACATTTTGGGCACTTCAGACAGAATTTATTGGCATTGTGCCTTTGATAAGCGTAGATAATAATGTACAGTATATTCGGGCATATTGTAAATATTTTCAAAGTCTATATGATGGTAAATATTATCTTACAATAATGTAGAAAAATCTATAATTTGTGCTACACTAAATGTTTTAATATGGTTATATATTAATTCTAAAAGTAAATACCAAGAGTTACTATTTAAATGGTAGTTACTGATTCTACATTCTGGAGGTACATAGTAATTGTATTCACAAAAATACATACCCGCAATGCTGATGGAACAGTGAGTTGATTGGAATTGTTACAACCAGGAAAAAACATTGATTTTGTGTGAGTGGTGCTCTTACTAAATTAGGCAGCAGTATATTGTATGATGTATGATCTAAGCTTTGTTGTTCTAGGTTCAATACATTACTCACTTTAGATTGCTACAAGGATGGACTAGATGATTTAGATGGTTCCCGTTCTAAAGTTTAACGTGTTGCTGCTTTATCAATCCTTCGCAATCATGACACTCACGCGATGACGATGGCAACTGAAATAATATTAAATAAAAAAAATAAGACAAAGTGCACAAAATAAAATAGATTTGTTTACTTTAAACTCAAATATAGGTAAATGTTACTTAAAACTTAATGCCCTATATTATTTAATAATTAAGGACTGACTGCCTACCAGTAGTCCAAAAACAATTAAAAATCGACTGTCTTATTTCTTGGTATTTGATAAAAATTGTCCATTTCGTAACTATCTAGTGTAAGCTAGCTAATCTTATCGTCGTGTTACAAATAAGCTATTTTGTTTGTCAGGTATAGCTTGTGCTTATTTTAAAAAAATAAAACAACTTCATCATTTCATACATTCATCACTATCAAATATCAGCACTAGAATTAATAAATTAAAAACTGTTGAACACTTACTTTTAACTGTTGTCACACTATAATGTGATCGACAATCTCACTCCATATGAGTTCTTGAGAATTTATTTGAAAAATAACAAACAAAATAACACAATGGCAACTATTTAGTTATGAATTCACTAGTACCTTTTTACTTGTTGAATTGTGATTTCATTTCGCATGACATATTTCCTATAGCTGTCAGATTTGATGTTGCCACATAACTAACATAAATACAACGAAACGATATCGATTTGTATTCGATTAGTAATTTAATGAAAAGATAATAATATTTGAGTTTCGCTTTCAGTTCTACACGCTTTTTAAAATATATTTTCTTTTATTTTTTTAAATTATGTTTTAAACGTATTTTTAAGAACAGTTAAAATGTGGAGTAGCTTATTGTTATGCTCTAAACAGTTCATGGTAAATCAGCTAAAAATTCACTTGTTTAATTATCATAACATGATTCCATTTTAAATGTATTGTTAAAACAGATAGCAATAACAGTTAAATTGTGCAGTAGCATTTTATTGTACTCTAAAGAATTCATAGTAAATCAGCTAGTAATTCGCTTGTTTAATTATCATAACATCATAATATCCATAGCGATTCGATTATTATTCGATTAATAATTTCATAAAAAGAGAATAATCTTGGAGGTGTTTTAACTTCTGCTCGCTTTTTAAAATGTATCTTCCTTTTTTGTTTAAATTCTATTTTAAGTGTATTTTTAAGAACAGTTAATTGTGCAGTAGTGTTTTATAAAGCTCTAAAAAATTCATGGTATATCAGCTAGAAATTCACTTGTTTAATTATCGTAACATGATTTCATTTTAAATGTATTGTTAAGAAAAGATAAGAATAACAGTTATATTGTGCAGTAGCGTTATGTTATACTGCATAGAATTCATTGTAAATCAGCTATTAAATCGCTTATTTAATTATCATAACTACAGATGTGAAGGCGGTTGTTAACGTTTTCAACCAAGCCGATAACAACGGTTGTTTTTGTCTTGAAATTGATAAAAATTGTGCAGTTGCGTTTTGTTAAGCTTTAACCTTTTGAGCGCCACGACAAAAACGCATTACCGTGTCCTGTACGCCAAAGCGCCAAAACAAAATAGTGTTGCCAAGAGTTGATATATCGATAACGTGAAATAACTTGTTTTTGTTGGTTTTTTATGCTATAAATGACTCTTAATAAACTGTATGTTTTATTTAATCTTGTGCCGTCTTCCACTCTTTTTATATATGTACTTTGTACATATAAACATAAATAAAAAACAAACAATAACAATAAAATAGTAGTAAACATTAGCACTACTCTCCATCCTAATGACGACACTGTCGCGACTGGACGACAACGGCGTAGCTGACCTTCCCTTTTGAAACATTCTTAGAATGTTGTGTATCGATTTCAAAATCGATCTAACCGAAATATACAGACATCGATTCATAATATTTTATGTGTCGGGGAAGGCGTAGGCCAAGTGACGCACAGAAGAAAAGTCTTACACTCTTATGACAAAGGGGATTTGATATGATGCTGATGCTGCTAGATGATTTTGAGACTGAGAAAGAAAATGGCACAACACAAAATGAAAAATTGCTCTTCACACCCTAAGTAAAAAAACATTAATTGTAATTTTGTATTATTATTAAAAAAAGGTACATAATTATTCACTAATCAACAATTGTATATAATTATTCGCACTAGGTAAATCAGCCTTATAATACTAAAATCTTGGTCATGGAATAAATAAACATATTTGTTCACCAATCAATCAAAAATTCAATTCATCAATCAAAAATCAAAATTCATCATCATCGACGCTTTCCAAAATCCGAATGAGTTCTGAGGCATCGTTCATGTTGCATTGCTCTACTTTTCTCGGTAATCACTTATGACGTCATCAGGGTGTCGTCTATCCTTGATCACGGTGCCCAGTGAACTGATTTTCGATGACGCGCTAAAGATGCGCTAGAGTTGAGATATTAGATTCATTATGCGAAGATAATCTGATAACATTTTTTTATTCATGTAGCTAATTATAGTTTTATGTTTATAACCTTTAATTTTATTCAAATATCAATAATAATAGAAAAAAAAACACCATTGAGCTGAATTTTGGATAGTTTTCAAGAAATCTATGCCTCCCGCGTTTGACACTAGCGGTCAACCATAGACGACTTTGGCGTGCTGGACATAGTATTTGCTTAGATAAAAATCCATTTTTATTAGTTCAATGTTTCTTAGTACTTGTCGGGCTCTAGAAGGCTTGTTTTTTATACTCACATGTTGCTGGGTTATTCCTATTTTGAGGAGTGTAGAATTAAAATACCTGTAATAATTTTCCAATATCTATATTTCATATTTTTCGGAGCCGGGTTTTTTGTCAACTATAGACGTCGTTGGCGCTCAGGGCCCGCAGGTGTTGGTCAAGTATAGGCGACTTTGCCGCTCAAAAGGTTAAAAGGATTCATGGTAAATCAGCTGGAAACTAACTTGTTTCGTT